CTAGTCCTCGAGGACTAGGGCAAGGCGTGAGGGTGGTGGACGCATGGAAGGCGGCGAGAGGTTTTAGGCATGTGGAAAACTTGGGAGCATTCTAGAAGTACTTGGTGTGCATGTCAAGACATTAGGAGATCTAGTAGATTTAGGATTTTTTGGTAGTAAGATATTTACTTGCCTTAGGATTTAATATTTAATTGTTTTAATAGTTTCCTAGTAAGATTAGAACTAGAGGTAGTTGGCATCTATAAATACCCATGTACCTCATCATATTTGACAAGTCTTGAATTGAGTATTGAATTGGTGAGCCAATTTTGAGGGGAACTTTATGTTCTAACGTGTGATAAACAAGGCCGTCAGTGCGTGTTTACATACAGTGTCTGAGAGAAGGCCCTGAGAGCGTCTCAAAGTCACAGTGTCTAGGAGAAGGCCGATAGTGCGTCTGTTAGATACACCTATCGTGGATAATCGAAGGCCCTGAGTGCGCGATTATTCACACCCAGAAATAGATAAAAACACGGTCCGTCAAACGGAAGTGGGTTCCACACCCCTGCGACAAGAAGGGCCAAGGGCTGAGACGACCCGAGGAGGCTGAAAATAGGGCCAAAACGACGCACGCATGGCCTAAGAGACGGGTACGAGCTCGTATGCAGGCCACTCGAGCACATGAGAAGCGGCACGTACAAGGTAGTAGACAAAGGCGCGCACACGCGCATTGGCGTAGACGCGCATGGCGCTTGGAGAATAGACAAAGTGGCGCGCAGGGGGAGGTTGTTGGGAGGTTGGCGCGCGAGGGGAGTTGCTGCGGATTGACGGGCGCGCATCGAGCGATGGGCGATGTGCGGGCATTGGGCATGCTGGACGACGAGCGCGGGGCGCAAGACGACACGCACGAGGCACAATGCAGGAACGAGGCGGCATGCCTAATCCTCGTAAGAATAGGCAAGGCGCGAATACTATTCCTCGCAGGAATAGGAATAGCAGTTAAGTGCCGGAATGCGCGTGGGAGATCGGTGACGGGAGTAATCCTCGTCAGATCCGGAAACGTAACCGAGAGCCTATTCCTAGTAGGAATAGGAATAGTGGATATGGGCTC